ACGGAATCATACAAAAGCTGTTAAATGCAGATTACCATTAGCCGATCATCGTTGAAATCAATTTGTTCACTCTCGTTTGGAAAACCAGCCATTATTTTACTATTAATGCTGACACCGAGTCGTTCCATCTCAATCAGCTGATCTTCACTGGAGCTCATCGCATTATTGGAACGCCCGTGTCAGATTCCATTACAAAGTCGTACTTCCAACTGCAAATATCAAGTAGCTTTAGCTAGCAACATGTCACATCAGGTTTACGGTATTCAAGGTTCAAGTAAAGCTTTCAAGAGACATTTGGGGAAAGGATGGTGAAGTGTTAAATTGCTAACCAAATTAAAGCCCGATGAAGTATGATTTGTCGTATGACATTGTAGGATATAGTGTAGCTGTGTAGTATGTAGTGGCGGCGTGTGGTCCTGTGCACACAGCTCAGGTCACGAATCAGTTGAAGTTAAGCAACGTCGAGCTCGGACAGTCCTTGGATGGGTGACCGTGTTTGGCAGATTCTAGGACATGTGGTCTCACCTTAGGCAAGTGAGTTTGTTCAAAATTGCCTCTGTTCACCCAGCAGAAAATGGGTACCCGGTTGGATAAAGTCGTGTGACTATAACCTTCTAGCGCCTAACAGACAGCTTGGGTTATCCGGGGTAATGATAATCAGATTATGATTAAGCGCCGCAACCAAACACTTGGTGTTTGGACGACGACAATATTATTACGTAGTGTACTTTTGTAGCATGTAGTATAAGTATGTATACTGTATATACATGGAACAGTCCTCCTCTTTCTTTGTTCATTGCTGCTACGGGGCGGTGGGGTAGCCTTGTCGTTAAAGCGTTCGCGCGTCACGCCGAAAACCCGGGTTCGATTCTCCACATGGGCACAATGTGTGAGGCCCATTTCTGGTGTCCCCCGCCATGATATTGCTGGAATATTGCTAAAAGCGGCATGAAACTTGCACACCCACACCTTAATGCTACTACCATTCCGTGAGGCTCTAGCTACGACTCGCAAGGGTCGAATACACTCGCGCTGCCTTCTATGTTTGTTTGGACATAATAAGTTTTGTTAGTATGTTTTAATCATTTTACAGTTCTTGTCACATTCATTAAAAAGTAACCCATTGTTATCGTACACAAGAAGAAGAAAAAAGTTGACACATTGAAATGAAACCGTTCGCAGAGTGACCCCGTAACAGATAATTCTTCTTGTGAAGAAATACCATTCAGACATTACAAATACAAAACAAGCATATATCTTTAACATGAATATGAAGAAAGTAACTATAAAAAATGTTGTACGTACTGGCCATTGTATGAAAAGAGATGACATTTTCCCTCCTACTTTGTACACAAAGCAGGCCCATTAGACGAAATTCACAACACCTGTTCGTCTACACACTTTGGATAATGTAACACTATGACCGCGATAACATTGCGTAACATTGTCAGTGTACCATATCTGAATGACATACATAGCAGCGGTGTAGTCTGATGATACAATGACCGAGAAATGACTCACGCGAGCGATCTCGCCTCGTCTAAACTCAGCCTCTTTACTCATTGTTTGCAATAAAAGGTGTAGAAAATACCTCTCAGACAGCACGTAGCTTTATTATACACCAGAGCCAAAGTAACTAGTCTCAATTATCATCTGAAAGATTTAAATGTATAAGGCAAATTCAGGCGCGTTGCAAGCCATTTTGTTCGTGTAAGCCCGATGGGTTGCAAAGCTTTCTATTTGGATTGTGTTGAAGGCTTGTCCAACCCTTTTAGCAACAATCATGTATGTGTATGCCCGATGGGTTGCAAAGCTTTTTTTGGATTGTGTTGTAGCTACCCCTGAAACAATGTATGAATGAATCACTATGGACTGACTGACTGAGTTTGGTTTTACGCCGCTTTTAGCAATATTCCAGCAACATCACGGCGGGGTGTGCTTTTAGCAATATTCCAGGGCGGGGGTCAATTACTATGGTTGACACCAGGTATTCTGGAAAAGGGTAAATATGTTCTGCCGACCCAGTGACACCCGCCACCCACACGATTTGTATAAACACCTAATTGTTTGTTCTCTGCTGTATTTAAACCTAAGGACGGTGGCCTGTATAGTTATATCGTGTGGCAAGGTACAGATTTCTACAAAGTATCTGATTCGGGCTATTGTTGAGGATATCTTTTCGCATTAACATACTTGTGTCAACATCTTTCTCACACACCATTTGAAAAGGGGTTTACAAGTAGTTCTCAGTACTGTAGGAGTTTTTCACCGAAGACAGATATCACAATACAACAATAGAAATAGTGTACACATTACTCACAGGTCACAATGACCTTATTCTCTTCCTTGTTCATTTTTACTTTCGGTTTCAAACAGCTTCCCGTTTTAATCCATTTCAGCATAAAACTATAACTACCAAGCATAAACATTAAGTGTAAGCTGAGATATCACCACTAAAGATGAAGTTAAACATTTACTGCACGATAAACACTGTTATTGACGTCAATATAATACTTATGTGACACATAAATTATGGACTATTGTGGTTATTAATATCAAATATGTCAACAACAAATCCTTATATGATCCTGAATGACAAAGTCTCCGCTGTATGCCAAACGGCTGTGTAATATGACTTACTATGACATGATACACTAATACAATCATTTTAACACTTTCCTGAACTACAGATTTGTTTATCACACCTTGTAGAACAACATACCTGTGACAGAGCCTCCACCTGAGCGTCGCTGTGTCACGTGATGTCCGTTCTCCGTCGTCGATTGGATTAGGTGTTAAAGGTAAAGGTTACGGGTGATAAAACACTGGGGGGTTCTATTCGTTTACCGTAATAGGAAAAAGCAAAGGCAAAGACAGTTTTACATCAATGTTTTTTACGCGACATGTAAGAAAAATAGAATAGCCCTACTCGTGTTTTGGAAAATAATATTATGGCACAAGTGAAAAAAAAAATGCAATAGATAATTGTTTTGTCAACGATGGGTCACATTTGGAAATACCCTCCCCATTTCAGCCATTAACCTTTAAAAATCGGAAATAACGATGAATAGATACCATTGATGGGAAATCTGTTTATTTCTCACAGACCTTTTGGCATTTGTGATCAAAGTTACATCTCCGATATTTAGCTATAGTGAACGATTATCGATCCCTATGACCAATATTGATAGCCAGCGCTAGTTGTAACCTGATCAAACAATTTTTAGCAAAACGCTCATTTGAAACCTTCCCAGAAAGAACATGCACGGCTGTATTCAAAAGGACATGACATGTTGACACAAAAGGCTGGAGCTGATGGAATATTTGCTGGAGCTGATGGAGTATTGTTTGACCTGATGGAGTATTGTTTGACCTGATGGAATATTGCTGGAGCTGATGGAATATTTGCTTGAGCTGATGGAATATTGCTGGAGCTAATGGAATATTGCTGGAGAAAATGGAATATTGCTGGAGTTGATGGAATTTTGCTGGAGCTGATGGAATATTGCTGGGGCTGATGGAATATTGCTGGAGCTGATGGAATATTGCTGTGGCTAATGGAATATTGCTGGAGCTGATGGAATATTGCTGGAACTGATGGAATACTGTTTGACAAAAAAGAAAGTTACAGTCTACGCTTTCGTCATTCATCTTCTCAGGTGTTTTGTAACTCTTAATCTGTATGCATAATTGTAAAGAGGAAACATGTAAATCCACTTCAAACAATGTAAACTGGGTTAAGTTTCTGTCACATATTCCTGACCAGTAATTTTAAGCGTCGATTCCTTCCATTCAGTGGTATATTTGAGTGTTCGTTAAATATAACCCATTCCTTAGGTTGTACAGGTTTTTCATTTTACGGTAGTGAGTGATTATGGTTACGCCGCTTTTAGAAATATTCCAGCAATATCACGGCAGGGGACACGAGAAATGGGCCCCACACAATGTACCCATGTGGGGAATCGAACCCGGGTCTTCGGGTTGACGAGCGAACGCTTTAACCACAAGGCTACCCCACCTCCCCAACCATACGGTAAAGAATATTAATGAATACGAGGGAATATGTCCGCGGAGTGCTCAGCAGGTGGTATTACATCTATTTTGAGAGATTTTTGTTTCCTATGACATGTTACGTCCGCTCATCTATATACGTCTTCACATTACCTGACGCTTTGTCATGGTAGTTGATCGCGCCATCTTGGTAATGTATTTGATATAAACACACAACTTTCAAGTGCTTTGTGGCAGTACGATCCTTCCATGGCCACAGAAATAATGGACACAGACAGTAGCAATATGGCTCCATTCTGCGTTGTTGCAGTTCAAAACAAAATACACACTGAAACAGCATCCTTCTGGGCAATGTATTTTTTCATTAAAAGATACGACAAAACCTTTCCACATCCATAAAAAAATCCCCTCAAAGTAGAGTTGATTGTACAATTCTGACTATATCATGAGTATGTATGAGTTCTTTAGCAGTACTATACAACTGTACGATGTTGTTTGTAACAATCGACTCTGGACCAGACTATCTTGTGATTGACACCATGCAATTGATACGATGACAGAGCATGTGTTTATGAATGTTTATTAAGTCATTATAAAAATCCATACATTTGATAGACAAATGTCTTCCAACAAGAAGACTGGTTTGCTGACAAACATGAAATAAATATTCATGAATGAATAATAATAAGAAGAAGATGAACAACAACAACAACAACAATAATAATAATAATGACAAACACTCTGGGTAATGCAGAAGGCTGCAGTGTTGGGGAGCCTTCATATTCTCCGGAAAGTTCTTGGTGGGTTCGACTAGGCAGCGTTTCCTGGGAGAAGTCCTATTCGCTGTCTGGGCTGCGTGTAGAGGGGGCGAGGGCCCTGAGCTGATGATGAGCCTTACCAGCCTGACTGTGCCAGGATCACCCGAACCCGCTCTGCTGCATACTATCTTTAATCTGTAAAAAATAATGACAACAACATTAAACCAGCATCCTCTGTGTCTATGTACTAGACAATGTCAAATGACCCGTGCACTGCCAATGAAGCACCAGTTCCTATTCTTGTCTTTGATAATGATGTTCCACTAGTTCCATGAACATTTGGTTTCTTTCTGTACACCTTCGGCCTTACGTCCATTCCTTTCAGTTCCATTTCGCCCACGCCGAGCTTTTCCACGCCGGTAGTGACCTTCTGCATCTGAAGTGTGTCTGCGATGCCAGGATTAATTGGAAAATGGCCATGTGGATCGACACACAGTTCCAGACTGTCAGATTTACCATTGTAGACAAATATCTGAAATTGAAAGGGGAAGTTCATACGTTTCTATATTTGACACAAATTAAATCCAACATACGTGAAACCAGGTACCAGGTACAATTAATTGCATATGTCTTCGCTTTAAGACTAACATGCAACATATTTCTATGTGACTCTATTTAATTCAAAAATACTTAATTAAACGTTATTCCATTTTCAGGCGAAATTAACAATTATTTTTCTTTGATATAATGTATTCCAAGATGCGTAATTACTGTGTATCGTAGCACTCTGAGAGTGTGAGTTCGAATCCCAGATGGAACCCAAAACTGTACTAGAATCTTTATTCAATAGAGAAATGTTTTGCATCTTACATTTGACCACTTTCGAAAAGCCATCTTGTATTCACAACTTTAATCTATGTTTCAAATGATGATGGGAAACATTCAAAATTCCAAGATACAAAATCGAATAGAGAAAGGTGATATTTGAATTTATATCATAAAAAATGCAAATACTTGAGATCCTAACCTTGTCTGGAAACGACGGCAGTATGCAGTGTTTCTCATGCTCCAAGCCAACATCTCGTTTCATTTGATTGTAGAAGGGACCGTCGGCATCAAAATACCATGGGTGCATGATCACATAGTCCCACAGCTTCTCCCCAGACAGCTGTCCAATCAGTTCCACACAACTAACGCCAAAGTCGACAGGGTCAAAGTCTCCTTAAAATAGAACAGTGCAAAAACATTGGGGTGACTACTGAAGGGAAAACAACCATTGCGATAGCGATAGTCTATTGCGACCAACTATTGCAATACCTTGAATTGTCTCATTTGAAGTCATTTCCGAAATGAATGTATAGCTTATATGACATAAAAGCAAGTAGTTTCAGTCTCTTTTAATAGCTGACAAGGAACTTGAAACCCAGATCAAGTAAACAGTTAAAACATAAACTCAGTGAAGCTGCAAGTCTGCACCCAAACAATATAAATTACAAAACAACATAGATATTTAATAAAAATAAATAACCATCCAAATACCCATTTGGATTGAGAATTTATCAACGGAAGTCAGTTACTAAACTATCGATAGTCACACATATTATCAATGCATCGATAGTTTTTCGTTTCTACCATCAATTAATTGCTATCGGGGACTCAAGAATTGCAATCCATCGATAGTTCGATGCATTGTTACAGCCCTACAAAAAAAATACCCAGTCTTGCCTATCCCCAGAAACAGATTCCGTTTGGTGTGAAAGGAAAACAAGCTGTGAACATTGTATGGATGGGTGACTGAACATCACAGATGACACCATGTGTTCCCCAAAAGGGTAACCATGTCCTGCCATGTAGCACCAACCATTCACAAAATTGCTTAAAATTGGAAGTATTTTTGCGTGGCGCTGAGTAGCAGTATCCTGCCATGCGACCGCTTGTAAACAAACCACACAATCAGGTGATTGATGAATACAATCCAAAGATACTCTATTCTAGAATTGTGTTAATCAGGACCATTTCAGTCAAAACGAAACGGGTTTCATTGTTCACAGAATTTAAGAATGTATTGTCGCATTTGAAGACACGTATATCTTTATCAAAACTGTCACACTTGCCAAACGGAAAACGTTTAATTCTCTGTTTGGAGTAAATCCCCAATGGTAAACAAACATTTTACGCATTAGAAAGGGTATAATTCATGTGTTTGGTAATACCCGCTGTAGAAATAATTAAATGTGACAGCTGATTTGTTATATCAAAGATATTTCAAAAATAATTTATCAACAGCTGATATACTAATTGTTTTGTCAAGTATGATTTTTAGACATTATATTTTCAGGTATCAGATCTTATCCCCTCGATCATCATAATGAGAAATAACCCAATGTTATAAAGTGTGTTTACAACAAACTTATATGTATATAGCTGTTCCGATTTAAATGAATTTAAACATATTTTTCATTAAAATATGACATCCACAGCCATGTAATAACAATCATCAATCTGGTTTTCTTTAGTAAGTGAGTGAGTTGAACTTTACATCGCGTTTATCAATATTCCAGCAATATCACAGCTGGGGACACCAGAAATGGGCTTCACACATTGGACCCATGTGGGAATCAAACCAGGGTCTTCGGCGTGACGAGCGAACGCTTTAACCACTAGGCTATCCCACAGACCCCTGAAGTTAATTGTCAAACAGTCGCAAGATCGAGAATAGCCATAGCTTCATAGCGTTATGACTAAAGACGTAACAAAGTTTCACACGACTAGAGGCAAGTTTCATATGACGTTTTTTAACCACTAGGCTACCCCACCGCCCCTTTTAGTCAAAACATACCTGACTCTGATTTGACCCCATTGCTGATAACTTCCTGAAGGACGGTCTCCAATATATCAGCTGATATGTCAGTTTTCATGTCCAGGGTCGGCATACGTTTCTTCCTTAAAGTTTTCTCTCTCAGTACTAGAAACAACCATAAATGCAATGGCAAAAACCTGGCGTATGTATGCATGTTAACGTAAATGATTTAGGATATATGTGAACTTTACATATATATGTGAACTTTACATACGTCGATTACTGTATATACGGTAAATTTATATTGAAGAAGGCAGGAACAATACACAGGAACAATACACATGTCAAATAACCAGCTAGGGATCCCTTTCACAAAGCGACAGTCGTAAGTCTATGTTAAAGTATGGGAGTTACGATCACCTTAGAGCTACGATCGCTTTGTGAAGTGGGGCCCAGAATACCTACAGCACTCAATACCTGTCACCTGAAAATGAGAGATTCGAATGGCAACCAAACCTATCACTTGGATTTTAAAGAAAGCAGGATTCATTCCTTTGCATTTGGTCATACGTACGAGCTTTGTTGAGGGATTCAACTTCTTTCACTTTTTCTTCATACTGAAATGAGATAAAACGATAATTGTCAAATCAAATGCCAACACTTATTAATCTAATTCAAGGTAGCTATATCATACAAAAAGAAGATTAAGAAGTGTATTGTCATTATTTACGCTAATACTTTGCAAAACGCGAATTTATATCAAATGTTTGCTCATTGTGAACTATGACATTTTATACTTGAAGGTGCACTTGGAGATTGTTATTTTGTCTTGCAAAACAAACAACAACATTTGGGGGTAAATACCTTCCTTGAAGCCACACAGTTTTTGTGAAGATCTTCTTGATTGTCAAGAACTGGAAATAGAATAATGGTTTGAATGCTGCATGACATTATTAACGAAATGTTCCTCTTTAAATATGCTTTACTTTCATATATGCTCATAATCAATAAATAATCTTAAAACCTCTTAAACATTTAATTTTATTAATAATGTTCATACAAGAAAGTTCGAAGCATTCAAATTAGTTTACACTTTAAGTTTTTTTCTATGATTTAGGAGCCACGATTAATATAGTGGTTAAACTCAATTCAGTAAAGTTCCCCGTGCAGATCCGGGTTGGAATTATTCTTGAGCAACGTATGCTTGTTGTAAGAGACGACTAACGGGATCGGGTGGTCAGATTCGCTGACTAGGTTGACACATGTCTTCGTATCCCAATTGCGTAGATCAATGCTCATGCTGTTGATCACTGGATTGTCTGGTCCATACCATCTGCAGACCGCCGTCATGTAGGTGGAATATTGCTGAGTACGACGTTAACCAACTAACACATAAACAAATAATCTTTTGGTTGTCTGTTTGAAATTTGGCAGGAGATTTGAACTCCTGTATTCAGGATGAAAAAGAAACCTTGTATGGTGATTTATTAACTATTCACAATATTGTTTATTGTACAAGCTTGCAAATTGATGAGTTTGGCATTTAAAACAAACAAACTTACCAAAGTCACCGAGTTTCCCAAGACTTTTCACTGGTACAACCAGGCTCGATTGCACGTCAATATTAAGTGTAGTTCCTTCGGGAATGAGCGACTCGAGATCTCCAGCGAACACATCCTTCACGACCGATTCTAACCATTGATATTCCATGGTCTGACCTGGATCGACGTCAATTTCTATGACAACAGAGCCCTCCCGTACAGTCACAATCTGAGCATCACTGGACCTGAGTCGGATGTTGATGACGTGTTTCTTGGCATCAATGTCATGGACGAGCAGCTTCTCCAGCTCAGGGTTGTTGGGATCTGTAGTGATGACGAGCACAACCTTGGATGCTGTTGGCCCAGGAACTAATAACAAAATGTGTAGGTGAGTCAGGTTTTACGTGGTTTGTGAATGAATAGTATTTCAGCAGTATGATGATGGGGACAGAAATGTGAAAAGGTGGAATGAGTAAATTCATTACACCATTCATTCATTCATTCATCTGTGCATTAAATAATTCATTCATTCATTCATTCATTCATTCATTCATTCATTCATTCATTCATTCATTCATTCATTCATTCAAACGTAACGACCTTTCACGGATACGATATTTGATAATTTTATACCTTAGAAAATATGTACCTACCAACTCTGACATTGACTGTGTTTTCAGTTCCATCCTGTTTTGCTATGACGAGCTGATGGGATGATTTCTTAATGTTCATCGTGCAGCCAGTTCCAATTTGACAGTTTATCAATTCATCATCTGAAACAATTGTTATTGTTGTTATGCAACTTAATTCATTACAGATCGATAAGAACAACGACATCGGATCTTCGCCATAGAGATGAGATAGGTGTAACAGTGCATGTGTTCAACATTCAACATTTCACAGACACCGATAAAAATATTAATATCTTTGGGTTCATTTCTTTACTGATCAAATATATTTCTATAACATTCCCAGAAACTGAAAAGAAAGTATACATTTGTGTTTAATTGCTCTAAAAATGAAAGAAACTGAGTGTTGGTATTCAATGGTGACAAATCTTTCAATATTTACACGTCAGCAGATTCAACTGAAACATGACACTGAAAGATGACCTAAGGTCTTAGTTTTACCTGCTATATCTCCTTCAGGTAATAAAGTAACAGGGTTAACTTGATGTGTTTCCTTCATCCCTTCACTTATTGCTTCTTCAAGGGATGCACTTTGTCCTTCATCTTCTGTCTGCGTGTCTTCATCAGAATCCAGACTTGGCTCCGCTTCCGATTCCAGTTTATGTCTTGGGACACTGGTAATGGTTATGTCTTTCATTTCTTTGGTGCAGTCACCCGGCAGCTGATACAGGACTTCATTAAACATGCGATTCTTTTCTTCAAATTTGTTGACGACAAGGACTTGTTTCCCACTGGCCTCCAGCCCTTAGATCATTGCAAATAAATTTTTCATGCCATACATTTTGAAAAGCTACCAAATTCTGAAGCTTTCGGTGGAACAGAATGAAATTTCAAATGCCATGATGTCCGGTCATCAAATAAACATTAACAACAGCAACTATGACTCGCATAAGTTTACAATACAAGGGTTATCAGTAATATTCTGAAGTGGAAGTTCACTCCAAGCCGAATGACACGTTTTCCAAGTTTGGACGTGCGACGAAAGAAATATATACTCATCAAAGTGTTAAATCCAAAACCTTACAAACGGATATGATATAACATTTCTATTCAATTTTTAAATAGATTTTTTAAATTTCACACACAAATTCCTGCATCACTTGGCTCCTATTGTTATCCTCTTGGTTTTTAATAAATGATAATTGATATGTATACATTTGATACAGAATTTGTCCGATCAGGATATTTACCTTCAAAGTAGTCATACACAGAATTGTGAAGCCTTCCTTTTCTGAGAAAAATGGACGCTACAGCTGTGTCCACTAACAAATACATGGTAGAAAAGCTTGAAAAGGGTAACCTCTCCTTGTCAAACATTTCTCTATCTGGAAATACAATAAAAATACTTTTAAGGAATTAACCCATCGCCAAAACACGTTTCCAATAAGATCATTTTGTGCTATTAGCCATTGCAGTTGCGAACAGATTCAAAATACAGATAATCCTTGAGTAAAGGATAACGAGACTTTTAATGTGCTTACACAGCATTTGTGATGTAATTGTAATGAACACATATAAATGTGTAGACCATTTTGGGGGTAAGGAAAGCAAATTGTCATAAAATTCAGTCACAAAAAATTTACATTACCGTTTCAAGAAACGTCCGTGAAATTCATTACCGAAATAACCCATGAAGAAAAATCCCTTTTACTTGACAGTTTTCTTTATCTAATCTTCAAATCATACTTGAAAAGGTATATTTTGTATTATGACGCTTGTAATGTATATTTACAGAAGTACATGGTAAGTCATCATTATCATGATGCTCATTCTGACAAGGTAGCATCACACACAAACCCAACAATCATTTAGAAAATATATCCCACTTAATACATTTGACGACCTTCAGCGGTTAAAACGTTTTAGATATCAATAGCAACGTTCGAGTCGGTCGGAAGATCAGAAAGTAGCAGTTGAATTTTGTACGTTTTAAAATCCAGAACAATAGAAAATATTACCCTTTTTATTTAAAATTGTCAAGGGGTTATTTCAGTTTGACCCTATGGGTTAAATTTATATTCCGTAGTGAACAGCGAAATAGCTAGTGTTCAATTTAAATAACGATGGTCAAATCTTTACATACATAGCACTATTAAGCCTCTTAAACCTATACAAAGATCTAGACTAAAATGTGTCACCTATGCATTTGATGACGTCATACTGTCCTCCTTCTTGGCCAAACCTCTTTGACAATTCCTGGGCGGCCGACATTTTCTCTTTCGAGCATATAATGACTGAAACAGTTTTCATATAATTAGGATCAATCCATGTGTGTAAAGAAAATATTTAGGATCAAAACAAAATTGAGATACCTTTCATCATTCTGTGTTTATCAACTTACCATTTCGTTTACATTTTCTGCCATTGTGCGTTCTCGTCGCTCTCTGTAATGTAGTGAAATATATGTAAAACAAGCCCATGGCATTTCAGCTAATATGTTTTATGCTAGACCTATGAATATAAGTGTTAATACGGTTAAATTATTTAACGCCTCACTGTTGTTGTTTTTAAAAATTATCTTTTTCCCCCAGATGTTCATATACATTATGCCATGCACGTTCATATAAAACATACATACATTCATGAGTCAGTTCATATCATACAATAGCTTGCAAGGTATGCTATATATTCTCATTACATATTTTGATGTCCACAATTCAACTATTATAACTTACACAATTTATATTTGCACATCAGTAAGCAAAGTGTGAAAAGATGACCAAAAGTATAGAAGTTAGGCTCACTATTATTTGTAAATGAAATGTATCTAAATGCTTGATAGTATTTTAGTATTTCTTTTTGGATACATTTAAAACGTCTCACTATTGTTCATTGCGTATCGCCCAGTCACCTAGCGAAGAGCGTTGCTCGGGATATCAACCATTGGTTTACTTGGCCGTGGTCAGATAATGAACACTAGGCTAACTTGGCAGATTCAGAATATTTCCATAATTGTTCATTATCATTTATAGTATACACATGTAAGGTTAATAGCTAATATGCAACGATTTGGGCTACAGGGCTGAATACACTAATATATACTTCATTTACTGTTTGTGTATTTCTGGAAATGAAAGATGAGGTATGACAGAACAATATGTTGCTTTGAACACGCAATACCAGTTAAAAAGCCATTCTTTGTAAAATCGGATATACTCCCCCAACCCCCTAAGAGTACTAGATAGTGTATTTTGCTGAGAAAGTGCACTCCCAAATATAACATAAGTTAGTTTTGACCTCTCAAACACACACACACACACTCTGAATGTTCATTCTGATGTGAAAAAAAGAAAGGTATGCCCTGGAGAACATAAAAACCTTACTCTAGCTCTTAATCTTTCTTCATCTATATGTATGAAAATCTTTATGAAGCAAAGTGACGTGATCTACGTCATAGAATGATTTAGTGTTATTATCAATTGATCTAAGCTTTAAAAGGTCATAAAATAAGTTACAGAATTAGTGAAAAACATTTATTATTTTTCGCCTGCCCGCCGTCTTCCAGGTTGATGTTGGAGAAGAAAAACACTTAACAAATATGGATGTCCCAAGAGGTCGAACCACTGTTTACTGTTAGGAAGGATTGGTTTACCTTGCTGTTTCTCATGATAAATTCCCCGAATGAAAATACCCCTGACTTGGAATTAGTACTCATGGCCTCCATGGGGTAGTGATTGCTTGTCTCTTGCCATCAACGGACCTGGTAAGTTCTCATCCTGAATAATATAAAGTTTACATTCATTGCAAGAGCACGCCAAAAACACAGCACTTGCATATATATCCTAGCTAACAATGGTTGGGGGTGTGTGTGGTGTGTGTGTGTTTTAGCGTAGTACTTAACATGTTTGTACACTATGCGTCTAGTCATTACAGGTGTCTGTTACTAGGTGATGTTTGTCTGTATGCATGTTCTTTAATGCCGCAATCAGAAATCGAGTCTGGACCTGACAATTGTTTTCTAGGATATAGGAGACACGATGGATACAGTGGTTAAACTCCACTTAGCAAAGTTCCCCTTGCAATTCCTTGTTACAATTGGTCTTCAGCACCCATGACGTTGTAAGTGGCGACCAACGGGATCGGGTGGTCAGGTTCGCGGATTTGGTTGACACATGTCATCGTATCTCAGTTACGTAGATAGATGCTCATGATGTTGATCACTGGATTGTCTGCTCCAGCTGGAATATTGCTGAGTGCGGCGTTAAACAAACAAAAAAACAAAAAAAAGCCAAACAAACAAACAAACAAAAACAAAAAAAACCCAGCAACAATATACACTTTCTCATTGATAACATCGATCCCATTGATGACATCATTGACATAAACAGTTTGAAATATTTATAACCTTAGAGACCCGTTTTTCTCATACTTGTCAAAACTGTCTGTACTCACTCAAATTTTACATTTGAACTGCAATATAAAATGTAAATCTAATTCATTTTTTTTAATAATCACATTAGCAAATGAAATTATTCTTCGCTTGTAGTACATGTCTCTTGGAATAAAAGTTATTTGAGTTCCCCATATGCTGTTGAAGACACCTGTTTTCTGCATGTGTTCATTGAAACCGGTTTTCAGTGAAGTTTCGGTTCGATATTATACAGCAGTTGCCTCCCTTCATACTCGCATTGTCAATAAATAAACATTTGTGTGCCGACTTTCAAATTTAACAAACAAACTAGCAGTAAAATTAAACATAAACATTATATTCATAAAGTCACACAAATCCACTGATAACGCCAATATCTGACATGACTAATAACAGACTACCTCGCCTATAATATATCACTTCCTGGTCCTACTTTCGGATTCGATATATTTTGTTATGTCACACGATATCTTTACACTCACTGTGAAAAGGCGAAATATGTAGTATGATGCAGTCTATCTCAACTATATATACAAGCTACTTGTATGCTTAAGATGTGTGGAAAACTACTGTCCGGATAAACGAGGTTTCATTGACCTATTAACCATATATATCAACCAAATGGATCTGTGGTATTCCTACTTCTTTAGTTATATATATATATATGTATGTATGTATGTATATATGTATAGGAAGCTGTATGTATGGAAGCTGATGGTGTGGGTAAACTCACCCTTAAGGGTGATACGTCTCCTCATATCAGTAACCTAATACTTACCGGTGGCTATGTTCACCTATCCTCTACCCGTTGCCGTGTTGTGACTGACGACATACAACGGCGAAAGTCTTATCTATAAATCGTATGGTTGGCCCAGGAAAACATTCACAAAATCCTGCTTTGTGTTCCTACAACGAAGACTGGGAACAGAGACATACAATCACCTCATTCGTCACCACTCGCCGCTTTCCGTAACCTCCAAGAATTCGATACTCGGCTTGTCGCGTAATAACACGAGTTGGTCACGAATGAGATCACCTTCCGTTTGTGGTGGAATACGGCAACGAGATCCAGCCAATGAAAAGACAGATTACATAATCAAGTGTCACAGCGTATGTACCGAAGGCAGTGGGCGTGTTACGAGGTATAGTTGTAACAACTTGTAGTTATGCAGAATTTATGAATGAATGCTCACTATAAATGAAATCCCGTAACTTCTGGGGCTTGAAGTGCAATCTCTGTATAGCGTTTTCTGTCACGTATTGCACAAGGTATTTGAGACTCGTATTACTATTGATCTAAATGTGAGTGTTGAGCTGTACACATTTGTACACATTCACCGTTGTGAATCGATAACGCACTGTTTCTAAAGCGCTGTCATATCCATTATGTTTAGACTAAGGCTTAGTCTCTGAATATATATAATTTTGATAGTAACAAACAAGCCCATTTATATTGAAAAGGAGCCCTAGGGAGACCAGAGATCCTGAACCTGAGAAAATCTAGACTTGCTTTATTTAGGGCTTTAGCACTACAGAGAGGGCTTTGCAGTAGGGAAATTAATGTGGTTCAGGGACTGTGAGACAGACTACCATTATGTTATAAGCTTGTCTCTTTGAAGCGTCAAGTCAGATGAAGTTGTTCGTGTTTGTTGGTGGGTTCACTTCAGTCTTAAATAATATATATCAAAGAATGATTATAAAAGCGTATATTTAAGACTATAATATACATGCGAGAACCAAGCTCTTCAACTGTTAGGTTAAGAGCAACACGTATACTCAGAGGCAAAAGTTACCGTGACATGGAACATTTTCATTAGCAGTCTTGTAAGTACATTTTTCGATTTGAACCAGAGGAAGTGTCTGATCGAATACCGTTTGAACACGTCGTGGATGAAATGGAGCGATGACGTCATCCGAATCCTCCAACAACGCTGTAGGAAGTCTGCCAAATTCTGCCTTCCTGGGAATTGGAATGATTTTCCCCAGGACTTTCATCCACGTTTAGTGGCCTCGATGAGGCGAGGGTGTCATCCCTGCATCAATGCACAAGGTGGATATCGATGTTTATCAACATGTTTGCAGTAATTTATTCATATATGGTTTGGTTGAGTTGGGATCGGGTAGTCAGACTCGATGACTTGGTTGACACATGCGTAGAACGATGCTCATGCTGTTGATCACTGGATTGTCTGGTCCAGACTCGATTATTAACAGACAGCCGCCATATACCTGGAATATTGCTGAGTGCGGCGTTAAATAACAAACTGAAACCATACGATTAAGTCATAGTCACATACGCTATGATATCCCTATCACATACACTTTCATCTGCATGTCAGAGATGGGTGATAAGAATATTTATTTGCGTTGTTAAATTCCAAGCAATTAGAGTTCTGCAGATATGTCTCCGAAAATGAAATCTCTCCACTAAAATAGATGTTTTTTTAGCCGGGCTTAAGTCAGAGAAAATATATTAGTGAATGGGGTATACACGATATTCTAGGCAAAGCATGATGAAGAACAGCTCATCAAACCCATCCCTTAGTATTCTGTGAGCGACATCACCAAAACGCAACCAATTGCGTGCACATCATGGAAAATGTGTTGGTTTGTTTTCAGGAAAAGCATGCAGAATAGGGCTATAAAAGACAGGCTCTAAAAGAGGTTCGATACCGTGGTTTGTGCACATACCGTATGGGATGTGACAGTATTTATGTTACGCAGTTATTTCCCTTTATCTTGCTTCTAATCATACTTCATGATATTTTGGCCACACACGCATTTATCCTGAGGTAAACCTGGGCAAGAGTTATCTCCCCTTATCAAATTTACTTTGGGTATGTTGTTTTAATTGGAGATAATGGTGATGCCCTCTGGTAACATTTTTGAGGGGGGAATATCTAGTGTGAATTTACTAAATAAAACTTCATCTATAAGAAAATCTTGTTAATATAAAAATCCTTTTTTTTCATTTAGGAGATAAACGTACTGTGTTGGGAAATTAGATGAATGTTAGGCAGAATTGATAGTCTCTAAATTTCATTTGGAACCGAACGCGCAGCGTGAGGTTTCAAATGATTATTTTAGAGACTAAAATACATCAAATTAAGTGTACTTGTCAATCTTTACGATCATTAAATTGATTACAGTTATTCCTCACAATTTATGATTCATATATGTTGATATGAACTGAACTTTAAACAAAAATTACATGAATTGACTGAAAACATTCTGGAATGGTCACGTATTGCGTATTTCTTTCAGAAATGGAGTTTATATAAACCATGGGAAGTCACTCTCAGGTATATCGCCATACTATAGATCTAGTCTACCTTCGTGATCACATACAGCTTGAACGTTGATACTGTGGTAACCTTTTCTGTTCACATAAGCTGGTTCATCTCTTGTTGGAGCTTGGTACCATCTATGCAGCCTATTACGTCAGGAAACCAACCGAGTTGGTAGAATCCACTCTGAATAGTACGCAGGTGCACACCCAAGGTATCCCCAACCACTTGGAGAAAACTCCCACTCGCATAAAATCGCAAGGCATTTAAAACTTGTTGCTAAACTGTAAGTGCATGTCCGCGATTTGTTGGTCTTTAAGATCGTCTCTTAAAGTATCCACCAAATACTCGATAGACCTCCTTCCAAACCTGTAACGCAGACGCAGTTCACTGTCCGAATAGCCTAGAATGTTTAAATCGTAAGCTCTATAAACTTTCTCTTGTCCTTGGTTCTTTAACGGCACCATGAACGCAGCGTTCGGTTGCAAGGCCATCTTGCCGATGTTAAACAACCCGGTTAACTATACACCTGGAACTTAATTAAGCACCCCCTGATATATTTCATGATTGTTGAGCAACTGTTAACCATCGTTAAACATGAATGATATCTCTGTATTACAACACATCTCTAGTAGTCTAAAAAGGTGTTTCAGTTCCTTTGCACTCGTCACAACGCATCCCTTGTGCACGTGAAGCATACAACCCACACTTTTCCTAAAATTCAGTTTCTCTGACATGCAATTTATGGGTATAAAAGCAGACAAATTTGTAACTGTCTCCATTAATGAATACTGAAATGGCGAGGAGAAGACTTTCTGAAGCAATAAGGTGGCAAATTGTCGGCATGCATGCAACAGGCATGTCCTTCAAAGCTATTGAACGACAACTGGGCTACAGTCACTCGGTCATCAGCCGACTTGTCCGAAAACATCAGATGACAGATTTGAGAGATCGTCCAAGGCCTGGACAACCCAGGAAGACAACGGCCCTTGATGATCGCAGCCTGGCACGTCTGGTAAGGCGAGAACCCTTTGCCACAAGTTCGGTTTTGAAGCGCCTGTGGTTACCCTACAGACAATTATCCCCCAGAACCGTCTGAAATCGCCTTAGAGCACTTGGTATGAGGTCCAGAAGAGTCATCAAACGTCCTGCTCTGTCTGATCTCCTTAAGAGACGACGTCTGGAGTGGTGTATGGCCCGTCGCCAGTGGAACCTGAGGACATGGAGGATGGTCCACTGGTCAGATGAGAGCAGGTTCCTCCTCCACGTTACAGATGGTCGAATGAGAGTGTGGAGGCATAAAAACATTGCTTACGTGCCCAGGAATATCCACCCTACTGTTCCTTATGGTGGAGGATCGGTTATGATCTGGAGTTGTCTTTCACACGACTGTAAACTTCAAATGGTGATTGTCCGAGGAAATCTTGATGGTCAGCAGTACATCCGTGATATTCCCCATCCAGTTGTCGTGCCTCACTTTGACAACCACCCGTTGGCTACTCACCCGATATTCATGGAAGACAACGCCAGGCCGCATCGTTCACGTGCTGTGACCGCACATCTCCAGAATGAGGCTATCATGACATTACCTTGGCCAGCAATGAGCCCCGATTTGAATCCTTTGGAGCACATCTGGGACTTTCTTGGACGCCGTGTGAGGTTGAGAGAACCCCCTCTCCAGCATCTTGCACAGCTGGAAGCTGCTTTGCATGAAGAATGGCTGCAATTGCCAATTCATCGTATCAGAAGGTTTACCAGTAGCATGATGAGGAGGATTCAAGCTGTCATCCAAGCACGTGGGGGATACACCCGATACTGATGCCAGACCCATCAGATGTTAACATGTGACATTCCTTGTGCATCATTTCTTGTAATAGTCAGCCATTGACAATGCTACGACCATACTTGTTCAGTGACTATTTTCATCAAGAATCAATAGTGACCAAATCACATTGGTTACGCTATTAAAACAACACGTATTGGAATCATTGTCTTGTTTTTCATTTGCCAATAGATCGTATGTTTCACAATAGCTAAGGTTCCACTATCTTTGGAATAGTGAGAGAGTTACAGCAAGTTTTGTTTCTCATCATCCAGAAAATAGGGGGGGGGTGCTTAATTAAGTTCCAGGTGTATATTAAGCGGCGGTCCGTAGTGTGATAACTTTAACGCCAAGATAACGACGGGTTAAAGATAACCGGGTTTTGAGAAACGCTGTAACCACTTGGTTAACTTTAACGGCCGGTTAAGAGTATTTAACCAGTGGTTAAAAGATAACCGAGTTTTGAACAACCGGGCCCAGGACACTATTCAAAGAGTCGTTGTGTCAATGAGAACATATTGCATGGCCTGTGTTAATCCAATGATGGACATACCCGATATTTGGCATTTCATTTCGACCCCGTGTGCCATCCATACAGTGACGTAAATATAATCACTGTGTGGCATTGTTTTGCCATTTGTTGTCTTTCTTTCATCTATTCCTGTTCAAAATTAACTTGATTATTGCTCAAGCCGTTTTTGTGATATTTCAAGATTTCTTACTGGAGCGTTTTTTATGCTTCTTCAGGGCCCTGTTCAGTATAGTTAAGCAACCATTTTCTGTTAAATATTTCATTTCACAGACTAGATGTTAGTCTAACATGTGACATACAGAGGGTTGGAATTCTTGGAATCGTGGCTGACAAGACTTTACAGAACAGTCAACATACATCTATTT